GCCCCCGCCCCCCCCGCCGCTCACGCCCTCGATCGCATCGGCGACCTCATTCGCCGCGGCGTCCTCCGCGACATCGTCGGCATCCCGACCTCCAAGAAGACGGAGGTTCATGCTCGCGCGGTCGGCATCCCGCTTTCTGACCTGGATACTCACCCGGTGGTGGATCTCTCCATCGACGGTGCTGATGAGGTCGATCGCCATCTTAACTTGGTGAAGGGTCGTGGCGGCTCTCTTCTTCGGGAGAAGATGATTGAAGGGGCTAGTAAGAGATTCGTCGTCATCGTCGACGAGTCGAAGATGGTGAACTTACTTGGCGGCAGCGGTTTGGCTGTGCCTGTCGAGATCATCCCTTTCTGCTGGAAGTTCACGATGGGGAAGCTCCGGCGACTATTTGATGGCGTCCCAGGGTTCGATTTGAGGCTGCGGACCACTTCGGGAGCTGAATCGACTCCTTCTGTGACTGATAATTTGAATTATGTTATCGATCTGTTCTTCGAGAACGGGATTAGCGGGGATTTGGATGAGATTAGTGATGCCATTTTGAAGACTGTGGGTGGTGTGGGGTGTTGTGGAGCATGGGATGTTCTTGGGGATGACGACCTCTGTCATAGTAGCGGGGAAGGATGGCAGCGTTACGGTGATAAACAGGGTGGGAGATAGGAGTATGGTGACTGGGTGAAGATGCTTTTTAATTCTCTGAGGTAAGTTTACTGATTGAGGAGTTAAAATTATCATCTTTAATTAGAAAGCATGTCTGCTAATCGAGCAATTTTTTGTTTTTTGCCGATCCAAGCAAAGTTTTCAGGCACTTGTTCCTGGAAATTTGCGATCTTGCTCCTCAAAGAGAATTTTTGTAAGGGCGGATGCTTCATTCTCATCTCTAATGAAAAATTAGATTTTTTTTCCCTGAAATTTTGGAGCTTGTTTTTGCATCTGTATTGCTTATTTATTTGCCCCTCGATTTCCATGCTTAATCCTACTTGTTCTTGCGATCTTAATGTTCTTATCTCAACTTAATTCTCACACTTCAGATAGATTTTTCTTTTTTTTTGTGTACTTTTTTAATGACTTTATTTTTAGGTACGGAGAAGAAGAAAGAAAATATGAAATTTTCTTAGAAATTCAGCTTTCAAACAGGCAATTATTGTAGCTATTAGATCTAATTCATTTTCTAAACAAAATCCACAAAGAAAGTAAGACTTTATCCAAATAAGTTTAGAAGCTGAAATCCATTCTTCCACTGCTATAATCTAGTTTTTGATTTGATAGTCGAACTACTGAAGCATTGAACTTTATCTATATCTGATTGATGATATGATCATACATATTGACGCTTGGAGGCATTCTTTTCTATCTTAATAATATGATGTGATAATCACCAACTTTAATAGTTTTAATGGAAAAAAAATCAAACTGTTAGAACTTCAACAAATACATTCTCTTTGATCTGTCCACAACCTAATGCATGTGATTGATTACTAACTTGTATGAACCCTAGATTAACTTATGATTTTATCATTTTTTTTCATTATTGAGATTTGTATTAATATTTGTTTTTTTTAACTAAAACATCCTAACCATAACAAATATGAGGCTCATTTGCTTAGATAGAGTGTAAGCATGCCTCAAATTACATAATGATTGTACATACAATCCAATCATACACACAATCATGAATCTAAAATACTGTTGTGGATTGTCTATATGAATGCCCAACAGTTTTTTTGAACTAGCTAATGGACTTTTAATCATTAGGGTGTGTTATTACTGCCACTCTCTGTGTTGCAAATGCTGATTCTACCTCATTTGCAATAAAATTCTTTAGAATTTAAATTGTTGATGGATATAATTGCAATTAATTGAAGTTTTGGGATTTATAAAGGGCTATTGGAGGCCTTCTTAAGCCTTCACCCCTTTGCTTATGGATATACCCCCCTTGACTGCATTCTGATAGCATGGGAGAAAGTGTGCGATTTGGGGCCCAAATCGTGCAAGGTCTATTTGAAGAAGTTTTTTCGAGTATTCATTGTCCTCAACTCTTAATAACATTTCATCACTTTATCTTTTAGTTTCTTGTTTTTTAAGATTACACCAACTTATCCGAAACTGCGTTTAAGTTTTTACACTAAACACGGGCCGTTACGATCGCCCCGCGGGCCGCGTTTCAGGATAAACAGTTTATCATAAAACGTACAAGCTGCACCAAACGGACCCTATGTTTTGGGCAGAGGTGGCATGCAGTCTCCTCAACTCTTAATAACATTTTATCACTTTATCTTTTAGTTTCTTGTTTTTTAAGATTGCTCTTACCTTTACTTATCATTTTTGTAGGAGATTGTGTAGCAATTATTTTATAGGTGATAGCATTGAGTCATTTCCGAAGTGTTGAATCACCTTGTTTGATATTTATCTATTATATTGGGGATTTGGGTAGTTTAGCCCATAATGTAAATGTAATTTTACATAGTTCTGTATGTATTTACCTATCTTACACTTTAAGTTTGATATTTATATTTGTGACACTTTGGTTTTAATTACTATAAACTTATGCATGAAAATGTGTGCGTATTTCACTTTTAAGAAGTTAAGTCATAGTTATATTTTTGATGTGGTGTTAAAGATTTGAGGTATATGCTTGTAAATATGAAAGTTTAGGTGTGGGATATGGAAATATATAGAACTTTTGTGGTTTGTGTAATACCCCCAAGACAAAAATCTATTTTTTTTTAATATATTTATAACATGCAAATATTTTATATCACATTAAAAAAATATCACTATTTTAACATTTATAGTGTGAAATGCACCTTCTCGTGCATAGATGAGGCGGTATATTCGTAGAAATTAAAGCTTTTTTATATGTAAATACATAGGAATTGAATGGTGTTTATGTGAATATTCTTGTGTGTCATCTTCTCTTTTATGATTTAGACTAAAGTATTACTTGTATCTTGTCTCATGTATTTATACAATGATTTACGTGTATATTTAATTAATAAATTATTGTTTTTCAGACAGCCATAAAATTAAAGCTCAGGTGTTTTATATGTAAATACATAGGAATTGAATGGTGTT